AGTTTGAACAGGATTTAGAGACAAGGTGTCTCATATAAGAGTTGCTCAGAGACACAAGGAATTGTTGTTAGGGCTGTTACACAGAATTGGGACTTTGTACCAAGTATAGATGAATTTAAGCAAGAAGTGACAGGAATTAACTTGTTTACTGTCTCATAATGGCCAGTAGTCAACCTGTGGAGAATATGGAGGATCTGAAATATTAGAAAGTACACTAGCATCTAATCATGCAATTAAAAAAAAAATAGGAACAAGCAGTTAGCGTAATGGCTATGTCGCTGGACTCCCATGTAGTCGACCATGGTTCACGTCCCGGACCTGGTGGCTTAAACTCATGCCGGGCATGTGTACGTGCATCCTCAAGATCCCCAGAGGAGAACAAAGAAGAAGGGACTGCGGCATGGCCATCCCACCCGGGGGGTGATTTCTCACTTTCTGTCTCTCTGTCTCTCTCTCTCTCTTTCTGATGAGCACATGCACCGTATAGCAAAAGCCTCTCCAAAAAAAGAAAAAAAAAACTCTACAGGTAAAAATAAATGAATAAGGGACCAGCAGTTAGTATAATGGCTATGTCGCTGGACTCCCACATAGTCGACTGCGGTTGGAGTCCCGGACCCGGTTGGTTAAACTCATGCCAGGCGCATGTGCGTGCGTGCCCAAGATCCCAAGAGGAGAATGGAGGAGAAGGGATTGCAGCGTGGCCATCCACCCCGGGAGATGATTTTTCGCTTTCTGTCTCTCTGTCTCTCTCTGTCTGTCTGGTGAGCACACACGCCCTATAGCAAAAGCCTCTAAAAATATATAAATAAATAAAATAAAATAAAAATAATAAAGACAAAAAAATAAGAAAAATGAAATACATTCCCTTATCCAAATGATGAATTATTTGAGTTTACAAACCTGAGAGAGAGAAATCCAGAAAGAACACTTTTGACATATCATCCAGAATGGGCTCTGTACTTTTGAGCTTCATGGAATATAAAATACATGAACAGCCTGCTCCATCTCAACTACATACCATGGCTTTTGGCTTTGGTATTCATAAATCTCTAATTCAGCAGCTTTATTACTTGGCCAGTGTAGAATGGACCAGCAAGTGGTATGGTTCTTAAAGCCCTGGACTTCAGTGTGTCTGACCACAGTTTGTCTCGAAACTCTTGGCTTAAAAGTCACACCAGGTGCATGTGTGTGCATACCCAAAATCCTGAGAGGACAATAGAGAAGGGATTGTGGCATAGCGATAGCTACCTCCCTGGGAGGTGATTTCTTACTTTCTCTCTCTCTATCTCTCTGTCTCTCTCTGGCAAGTGCACATGCCCTATGGCAAAAACCCAAAAATAAAACAAAATAAAACAAAGCAAAAACAATAGCAATACTAGGCAAATAATAATTGCCATAGTTAACTTAATGTTTTCTAAAGCCTCGGTATTCGTGATGGACACCTTATGATCTCTAATTGGCTTATTAATTCTGTAAAGTAGAAACCTTGTCCTATTTTAGAGATAATAAACTTGGAGGGTCTGAAATGTTGTATCTCAAAAGACAGAGCCAGCATTCAAACTTCAGTCTTGGGAACCAGCAGTTAGCGTAATGGCTATGTCGCTGGACTCCCACGTAGTCGACCGCGGTTCGTGTCCCGGACCCGGTGGCTTAAAACTCACGCCGGGCGCGTGTGCGTGCGTGCCCAAGATCCCGAGCGGAGAATGGAGGAGAAGGGATTGCGGCGTGACAAAGACAGAGCCAGCATTCAAACTTCAGTCTTGTCTGACCTTAAAGTCTACTTTCTTCCTTTCTTTCTTTTTAAAATTTGTCAAAGCAAACAAGTTTTGTTTGAATTGGTGTTGTGTTTTTGTTTAGCAGAGAAAATAATTTAATAGTTCTCATTTTTCTCCTTAGCCTCTGTGGCACTTCAAAAACAAAATCTCAGACACACAAAAATACAGTTATAGAAAGAACTACAGAAAAAATTTTATTAAAAAAAACTTTGCAAAAGAAAAAATTATGTCCTATTCACAGTAGTGCAGGCAGTAGCGTGCTGCTATGCAATCCTTGAGCCACATAGAAAAGCCAAAATCTCAGATCCTGGGTAAACCTGAATTCACTGGGCACAGGATTCTAGGTAGACATAGGGCTGGGGTAGGATCATGGCATGACAAGACCCTGTTGAAGGTCCTGGACTTTCTCTCTGTCTTTCTAATGAAAGAAATAAACATTCAACACACACACACATACACCACACACACACACACACACACACACACACACACTCACTCAAAAAGGGATTAAGAAGATGATCAAGAGGGGGAATTGGTCTAATTTGATGTCCCTGAGTGGAGAACACCAGCTGACAAGAAAATACCTGCTAAAATCAGTGAGTGTCTTGCTTTCCTCCCTGAAATGAGTTAGTCTTGTCAGCATAGTCACATGGAATGACTGCCAAATAGATCTCACACGTGACATGAAAAAAGTAAAAAAAGTCCTTTATTATGAGAAGTTAAAGTCCAAGTCATGCTCTGGAATGACTCCAGCACTGGTCAATGTGGGGACAAAGGAGGTGTGCTCTGGTCAGGAATACTGATGGGTTTCCATCACCATGATCTCATTTAGCACCTAAAGAGAGTGCAGCTCAAATAAAGTTCTAGGAAAGTCCAGCATCTCACAGACAGTCCATTGCCACTTGCCATCTACCCAGCGAATGTCTAGCTGCTTCTTCTCTATTTCATTTTTGAAGAATCAGACAAGATGAATCAAATGCTTATGTAGGTATTTCTTTTTCTGGGCACTGTTGGCTGCCACAAGAGAGGAAAATCAGGAAGGATTATCACAGGATGTCTTTCTAGCAAAAGAAACTTTTAGTAGCTAGAAAGGACCTCGGTTTCAGAGTCAGATATAACTAGATTTCTATTTGGGGTTCCAGCTGTCCTGAGACCTCAGCTGAGTTAACTTAATTACTCTGAATCATAAAAGTAGTATTTACAAAATGAGAATAATACATAGTGTGCAACTTATATAAAAATGTGTCTGATGCATACATGGTGCTCAATAAATTTTTGAGGTTTTTATTTTTTTGAATAGTTTCTTGCAGCAATAATGTGTATAGCCAGGAATACTGCTTATTAAATGTGATCTGTTGAAAAGCACTAAGGAGCCTTGTCCTTCACTAATTCATTTACCATCTCTTGAGTCTTACTTTTAACTTCTTTCAGAGAAAATTATACCCCCTTAAAGCAATTATAGAACAAAAGAGCAATTATGATTCTTATGATATTTATTCAGAGATCATTACTTGTAGAATTTGAGGAAAAAATGTTGAAAAAAAACAAGGTACTTTCATTATTATCATATATTTTTTACTGGGACTATTAAATGCCACACTAAACACTAAAGATAAGAGATATTTAATACCTTGAGAAGTTTTATTTCTTTGGAAGTTGTTCTCTTCCAAAATTTAAGATGATATTGAATTTTTCTTAGACTACTTTTTGTGTGAATTGTTCTGACATAGATTCACACCTATACAATCCTTAGCTATTAGTACTAAAATGTGTTTTCTCTCTGAGATATAAATGATGTTCAAAGGCCAATCACTCTGTACAAATGTCACTATCCTCAAGATTGATTTAGCATTTCTTCAACCTTCAACAGATTCTTGAATCAGTAATACATGGAGACACCATGCACATCAAATATACTAGTGTAATGCTTACAAAATCAATAAATAGTGGTCTTGTGAGTCTTGTTATATCTATTTTATTGATTAAGTTTTATTATATTTGTAATTACAGTTCAAAAATACAATTTGATGATCTTAAAAACGGTATTAACTCTTAAGTTCTCTTAACTCACAGGGCCTTGACTTTTTTCTATTTTTCTACAGTTAAACTTACTACACATTAAAAATAAGGAATAAACAAATAAGTCTCAGTAAGACAGTTTTCTCTGAGATGCAGGCACTCCAGTAGAGGCTCTCAATTGTAGTATTCAACACTACACAGAAAAGTACCTGGAGGACTCCTTTTGCTTAGAATTTTATGGAGATAATCAAAAAATTCATTGAGATTTCTGCATCCTACACTCTTTTATGAGAATAGCAGCTCTATATTATACATTCAACTCTAAAAAGCAGGTGCCGATTTTTGATGGTTCCTACTTAGCAAAGATTGGTGATAGCCATCAGTGGCATGACCAGCTAGGGAAATAGCTGGAGTTCACTTGTACTCCTCTTCTGCTTCTTCCGCTTGCATTTTCTTTCTTTTTATTTTATTTTTTTACATTAATTCACTGTACATCATTACAGCATACAAAATGAGATTTTCCATCCAGAATACACTGTATTGGCTCAATCAAGCACATCAGCATACATGTTATTGTCAACAAATAATTTTTCCATTTCTTATTTCTTGTCTATTTTGCTTTTTTTCCATCTTTGATTCCCTATATCCCATCCTCTGCCATCTCCCCACTTGCATTTTCTCCCACAAGAAATGGCCTGTCAAGGATGTCTTTGCTGTGTTTCAATATTCTTATTAACACTTCATATAAAGACTAGAATTCATTTAAAAGTATTCTATTAGAAGTCATATAGGTGACAGCTGTTTTAGAGGTGACCATTTGCCTTAATTTTTATTTTACTTCTATGGTCCAAAAATACCAAATTAGGAAAGAAAAAAAAAAAAAACACTGCAGATGCTATTTCCTTGATGAAACATGATCAAATATTATCAACTTCTTATGGTTTAAGTTAATTCAGTAGCTTAAGTTATTCAGCTATTCATAACTTTGATCAACATAGTTTTTGCTAGTTAGCTTAATATATTTTACAGTGTTCTCATTGGTAAGATTTGTGATTTAATGTGTCTGTTAATGTATTTGAGAATTCAGCTTTCTCTACTAAAGTCTCTGCTATTCAGATATGTGAATTGATTCAATTATTTCAGAGAAAATATTCATTCTTTTATGAGAAAAGTATAAAAACTCTAGCAATTCCATTAGGGTACAACCTTGGGGATGGTACATGAGACTTGATCCCTCAAAGGTCTTGCATTTAGCCCTTGGTCTCCGGAATACTGCCATGTCTATTTCAAGTGAGCATCATGTGCAAAGCTTGCTAGTAGATCCTACAAATATAAGAGACTGAGGTTTCATACATGTTACAGAATAAGTTGTTCAAAATGCTCTGTGTCTTTTTGCTAAGAAATAGTTGTTTAATATATGTCTGTGCGAGTGTAGAATTTGATTTGACATTTACTTTTGTTATTACCTGTTTGAGAAGTATGGAAAGCAGAAGTGACATTACCATTTAAAAAGCCCTAACAGTTGTACATAATTAAGTTTTCTTAGGTTACTTTGTGATACAGTATCTTAATTTTTTAGATATATCCTTGATCAAATTACATATTTGTGAGGCAATTACTCATTGGTCTCTGTAGAAGACTTTCCTTCCTCTCAAAAGCCCTGCCCTGTGTTGGGTGGCTCTGTGAAGGTATGGTTCATTGACTCCAGGGCGAGTGCTCTGTGTTAAAATCATGTGATTTGTGTCAGCTTTCATTGGGATCAGCATGCTCTCTGAGAAGATGTAAACTCCTTAGCTGAAAGAGTCACTTCTTGCTTAGGGCTAGAAGTTCAAATAGATATCTCCTGGCCTTATTTGAACAGTGATAGGATGGTAGCACTCTTCGTTGACACCCTCCGCACACACATGTACTTACCCAAAGTTTGGGGCATCACTGTTTTCTGGGTTCATCTCTAATGTCTTGTATTCTAAATCATTATGTATGTCCATTCTTTAATTTCTATTTTATAACCTATGTAAAAATGTAGCATATGTATATAACGCATACAGTTAACATGATAGCATGTCTTAATTTTCAATCTGACATGTCAAGAGTTTAAATGCCCAGGAAAACAGATTCTGAGACTTTGAGGTTTGCATCTACTAGTCATTGATTATGAGCTACTCCCAGAAAAGGGCGTGATTTTAGGCTTGCAAGTTTTTTTCTGCCAAGGACAACTCCTAAAAAAAAGCCTGGTTATGAAAGTCAGCAGCCAGCTCTTTCAGGAACTCAAAGAAAAGTATTTCACTCCTAAATAGGGATTGGGGTGACACATCACAACAGGCCCTTCAACTCAAGCCGCAGCTTGGGATTGTTCTCAGTGTTGGGTTGATTCTTTTACCTGAGAGTGTCTGCCAGGTCTGGTCTTAACTTGGTGTCTATTTTGTCCAGTGTTATCTTAGTTGTCCTACGTCTTCTCACAAATATCATGAATCTTGAGAGGACACCACTCATCAGGTAATAAGATAAGAGATAGGACTCTAAGAAACAGGTGGTCAAGGCATAAGGACCAAAAACAGAGTCCCCGTTGTTTAGCATTCACAAGAAATGGCTCGCACACAGGACACAGCTTGTAGCAATGACTGTGTAGTCACAATCTGCAGCCTGATGACACAATTACATTCCAGAATCAAGAATGTGGTCTTTGTGGCCCAGATGCACCAGACAAGGAACGCAGATCCTCAAGGTCAGTTAGCACCCAAAAAACTTTAGTAATAAACTACCCCAATTATCAGTCAAGAAAGGGCACCCATAGCTGACTTCATAGATCATTTTAGTTTCTTTGAAGCTCACTTCCTTATAAGAAAGCCAAACCCTTTTTGGACTGCTAGATGAAAACAAGGGCCCCAAGTTGGTAACTCTCTTTTGGGACACTTCCCTGTTGGGAGCTTTGCCTTTTCAAGAAACTCTGCTTTGCTACCCACTCTTGTCTGCACTTCTACTTCTTCATGATCATGAGGCATGAATCCCATTGCTTCATTGATGGATTCTGTATTGGTGTTGGGGCTGTAGTTACCTCAGTATCCTGCGCTGATGTCTCCCTTTTCTGCTCAACATTAGTCCAAACCATTCAGAGCACTAAGTAAGTAAAATATAGAGGGAAAAACAAACAAACAAACAAACAAACAAACAAACAAACAAAAACACTGCTGCAGAGGAAGTGGTAATTTCCCCCATGCATAGTCATTGCTGTGTTTGCCAATGTAAAGGTGAGAACTAAAGAAAAGACACCAGAGCGAATCCCACCATGGAGTCAAGTGACCCTGTGGAATAGGAAAGGCAAAAAAGAAGATAGGAGTAATGATTTAGTAAGGTAAAGAACTGTTTAATGACTGAGAAAAAGTAGTCAATGACAAGTTAACAACCATGAAATTAGAATTATAAAGTTAAAAAAGGACATAATGTTGGAAAAAAAGTGTTCAAGAAAATGTTAAATGATTTTAACAGGGTATTTCTGAGAAACAAAAAAGAATAAGAAAGGAGGAGCTTGATTGATCAAAAGGACTTCTAGAAAGACAGAGTCCTATGAGGCTAAGCAAAGGCCATGGACAGCATTCACCTTGGGGACTGTTCCCAGTCCTCTCAGGTTCACATGGTTCTTCATTAATGCGACTCTCATGTTAGGAACAGCAAGAATGTGATTAAACATAGTACTGATACTTTTAGTAAAAGCTTAATGCCTTCAAAAAGCATACTTTTCCAAAATTTCTAGACAAAATTCCTATTTTTGACCTTTTGCTTAAATCATAGTCAGGGATATCCTAACAATTTTCAACTGATTCTCCTTTCATTCAAATTGTTATTGAAATGTACCTTCCACCATGAAGTCTTCCTTGATAAGAATTTATTTTCACAGTTCTATTTAGTCTGAACATTCAAGTGCAGTGACACTCTTGCTTATTGCTGCCCTGTTTTTTATATCCTGAATATGTTCTTTATTGAATTATGTAAGCATGCGTGTGTTGAAATCTATTTCATAGTTCTCCTCATCAAGCTCACTAAGCCCACAACTTTGCAGGCAGCTTTGATGCCAATGGACTAGTGCAGAATAACAAAATGGTAAGAATGGCACCCTTTGTCACTCAAAAGGAAACCTATTTTAAGTGTCATTTAACCATATCCAGTTCAAAAGAGTGCACACTATACAAAAGCCAGATATGCCTGTGAGTCATCTCTTAGACGTTTTGTCTGAGAAATTCATTCATAAACACACACACGCACACACACACACACATCCCAGTGTGAAGATCTATAACTATTTCTAGCTCTATAACATGTACATCTGTATCTATAAATATAGAAACAAAGAAATAATAGTAGCAGGGGCTACCCATCATTTTTAAATCCAAAAGCAGTGATCTTCACAGATTTTTTTTTCTCCATGTAGAAGAGTGTCCCTGTGGAGAGGTCTATAAACAGAATGACAGTGCAGTCATGATATTTTATTCAGAGATATCAGTGTTTATTTTTAAACAAAAGGGAAAGCTCTCAAGACCCATTAGTTTTCTCTTAAACATAGACACACTTCACCCATCTCCTTTGGAAGCTGTGATAATTTTCATAGTACTCTAGATCATTTCAAAAAGAATAAAATATAATGAAGGGCTGTTCTTGCAAACACAAATTTTATAGAATCCTTTGGACTGGCAGCTTTGGAAATTCTTCTCTCAGGGGAAGTAAATTTAAGTGGAGCTGCACTTGAGTTCAGTTTGTATTCCCCTCTCAATTACCATCAATACAGCTGAATCAGGAGTTACACCAAAATTCCTGAGATGGCTTTTTAAAAACTAAAATAAAAGAAGAACGTGTTATTGCAGATGGAGGTGAAAGAAACCTTAATACAGGAGGGACAAACTCCCTGGAGGGAGGAAGCTGAAGGCATGACATCAAGAAACAAAGATCTTGAAATATCCAAAGCAGATTATGCACATTGTAATCTTTGTTTTTCTTTTAATTGTTTATGGTTGTAAATATTTGATGCAGTTTTGCTTGATTTAAAATACATAGTAATCTTTAAAATAGAAATATAATAAACAACCTAGGTTATTATCATAATATGAGAAAGAAACAACCAGTGAGTGTAATGTATTTGGGAGTTGCTCCGTCCTGTGTGATTAGAAATCTCTCCCAGACATGTACCCGAGGCATCACGGAGTGGTAGAGTCCCTTGTCACGGCTTATTGCTTAAACATGCTGCAGGCGACTACTATATCAGCATTTAATGGCTCAAAACAATAAGATATGTTTGTAAGACACAGAACATTATTCAGCAGTGCTTCGCTGTTGCCAGTAGATATATCATAGCGTGGGCTTTGAGTTTCCAATAAGTAAGAGGCACTTTTACTAATTAAAATTGCAAAAGGAACTTTCAGAGCTAGTTGTTGCATTTAAGTAACTTAAGGAAAACAGTTCACTCAAAAATAATAACCCAATCTGATTTTTATAAAATTCTAGCTTTTCTTTCATTATTAAAATTTGAATGATGAAAGCTATTTGATGATGATGATAATGTGAATAGTAATGTCTTTGTCTTGACTGATACGCATGGTAATCATATTGGAAAAAAGAAATGTAATACACTGTAAAGATCTATGTGATTCAATATAACATAAAATTATGATAATAAAATGAAATTTAAAAATCATAGACAAAATTAAGTAATTATAAGTGGAGTTATTCATCTCTTATTTACCTTTGAGCCTTCACATGAGACCCATACTCCTAAATATACAAAATACTCAACTATTTTCCAGAAGCTGTAAGTGCCATTGTGAGGGGTTTTAACATAGCACTAAAAATACCCATGAGAGCATCATTAAAGTTGCCCAGAATGTGCATCTTGATTCATTATTTCTAGTCTGACAGCTCTGCACTGAAAAACACACTCTGGTTCACACATACAAATGTCATTACCACTGCAGACTTCTCTCTGTTGACCCAAGGTACCATTGGGCAGGTCTGAATTGTGTCTACACAGCAAGGATCTGAGTCTGTTAGACAACAGAGCCAGATTTATCTGATTACATGAAGATTTTTTTTTCTAATATTTCAGCAGACATGCTAAAACCAAAATTTAGTTCACATTTTCAACATTAATCCAACAAATGTATATAAGATTTGTGATGGTATATACATAATTTGCAATTTTATTCTCATTCTATCACAATATGGATGTGCTCATTTTACCTGAGTCCATACTGAATATTGCATTGGAAACTATGACTAGGTAGATGAAACTGACCAGGGCACCAAGCATTATATTTATATATAGAGATACACAAAATTTGTAAGTTAAAAATTTGATGAAGACTGTCAGGGCTTGCTGTAAGCCAGATCTAAGATTAAGAACTGTTCTGTAGGTTATTAGCTCTATAACCCCAGGGAGACTGCTTCATCACCATAAAGCTCAATTTCTTGCCCTATAAAATGGAATTGGCACCAAAACCTGACTCACTGGGTGATTTTGAGATTAAATGAGGTAATTGTGTAACTCAAGTAACATAGTCCTTCACTTGTGATAAATGTTCATCTCATGTTACTTGAAAGGTATTTTCACAAGTGATTTTTAAAAAGACAAAAAAAAATCAAAAACAAAAATTGCCAGACTTAGAGTTTGAACTTTTCAATATACAACATTTATATAGCCCCTAATGAAGAGAAAAAAATGGGGAGAAGTGATGACTAATGTGTGTTCCTCTACAGCCCAGCCCCTTTAAGTTCACTTCATAGGGTTGTTCAAGAACATAATAACAGGCCACAAACACAACCGCCCTTCAATAACATGAAGGTAAGCTGCAGGGATGTGGGCAGAAGGCTACAAAGGTGCGGTAAAGCACAATGGGAGGAAACATAAAATAGCTGTTGGTCACTGGGAAGTAGTAACAGCAAACAGGCAGTGCTGACAGGGACCAGTCAAAGAAGAGGTGGCTTAGAGGAAGGGAGACAATAGAGCTTCCCATGAGGTAAATTTGCTGAGCTCCAAGCAGCAGGAGGCTGGAAAGTCAACTGAAGGATTTCCCCTTGTACTCTGGCCTGGGGTACCTCACAAGGCAGGAGGTCTTCTCTGTCTCTGTAGTTGGTGCACAGATCCAGACAACATGTCCTAAAGACAACCTAGGAGAGTGAAAAGAGCAGAGGCTCTATGTTTTTTCTCACATGATCACCACCTACCAGCTCCGTGAACTTGGACAAGTCATTTGACCTCTGTTGTTCAGTAGCATGTTCTGTAAAATGTGAGGTTACTGCCAACTCTTCAAGAAATGTGCGTTTACTTCTCTGATTCCCTTCTCATCCCCAAATTATCTGTTTCACTTATGTATCGATGTGTTTTTATTTTAAGCAGGACCCAGTGCTTAAAGTTCTTGCAAATTATTGGGGTAAATCATTGCCACTTTGGCACAGGAGTCAATTTCCTTCCTCTGTAACAATGGGGAACCACTTTGGCACAGGAGTCAATTTCCTTCCTCCGTAACAATGGGGAAATCATCATCACTTCCCATCATCCTGCGGCAATCATGTCAGTTGCAGCAGAAATTGTTCCCATTATTTATCTCGGTATTGCTCTTGTTCTGCAAAGCTCTCTAGAGCTTCAAAATTCCTGGTGCATTTGACGAATTTCGCTTTCAATCCGGATCCCAGATGCGGACCTTTATTTATGTATTAAAAAAAAAAAAAAAAACTCCCTGG